ATAATAATAATAATAATAATAACAAGAATAATGGTAATAATAATAATTATTATTATTATCATCATAATAATAAAAAGAAGCCTTTAAAGTAGTTTAACCTGAAATATAAAACAGACATTAATAGTAAGACAAACAAAAAAAAAAAAAACATCTACTACAACCCCTAAACAATTCTTACACACACACACAGAAGTATAACGTAACTGGATAAAAAGAAAAAGAAATTTGAGGACTCTTGATTTAATCATGTTCAATTTAAGTCTGACTTTACCCTACAAAGAAAAAGATAGACATGCTCATGAGAAAACAACTCCCACATTTTTATCCCTTGAAACATACCTTTTTTACCTTTACGATCTTTTTTTTTTTTTTCTTCTACGTGGAAGAGAGAACGAATATATATATATATATATCTTCTTATGCGAGAAAAGAAGAAATAAAGCTTCTTGATTGCTAGCTTAGTTTTTTTTTGTCTTTTTTTTTTTTTTACGATTTTGCCTTCCTTTAGCAGTTTGTTTTTTCTCGCACATGGGGAGACATATACATACATGTATATATGTATAATATCAGTCCCCTTCAATGTTGCCCAATATTAATGTCTACATTTTCCATTATTCCATTATTTATGAAGAGGTGAATAAACGGCATCTGTACGCTCACAAAAAGGTTCCTGACATTTCTCTTTTTGTTCTTTCCATTATTAACGTTTTTTTTTTTTCGTTTTTTCGCTTATATATATATATATATATATATATATATTTCGTTTTTTTTATTTCATTCTTTTTTTCCTTCTTCTGTCCATATTCCTATTTTTTTTTCTTTTTTCTTTTTTAGGTATTTTATATCGCGCCCGTCGTCCTCCGAAGACTACCACTACCCACCACTATTATTACTACTACCTGCTGCTGTTGCTGCTGCTCTTATTATTATTATTATTATTCTTATTATGAATTACCATGACTATTACTAGTAGTGCGGTAGAGTAATGCCTGCTCTCTTAAAGGTTGTAGGGTGGGGGTGGGGGAACAACTGCCCCTGTTGCAGGTCGAATGGTTCCATCCCACCACTGCTCCGCCTCTGCAAGCCACTGCCAAATGCCAAGATGTCCAAAGAATTCCATGCGAGGACAACCAGGGGCTCGACCTTGTTGAATAAAAGGTGCCTGTTGTTGATGTTGCTGCATGGGCATGGTTGTAAGAGATATCCAAACATGAGGACCTATGCGAGATAAGTAACTCTGTTCAGCGGTAATGATGCGATCGTACCATCGTTGTAGAATTCGTTGAAGCGCATCGGGTTGAACACGACCGTCTCGAATGGCGTCCAATGGTGGTGGTGGAGGCGGTAAATACCGCATAGAGGTTGGTGCCGGAATGTCTGGTAATGGTTTGTTAACACGTGCATGTTCATTTGGACGTGTTTTACGTCGTCCACGTGTTTCTGTGCGTTCCTTTGGTACTGCGGGAACGACTGGCATAATAGAAAGTGGCCCGGTGGTCTTATCATCAAAGCAACCAATATTAAGTGGAGGCATGGGGTAGTCTTGTGTGATGGGGTTATTCAGCGGGTTTGACTGCGGACTGAAGCGCTGGGATCCGCTGAGGGAGTATGGATCGTGGCAGTAGCGGTGGGAGGAGGTGGAGCCCATGGACGGCTGCCGCACGAAGCCGACGGTGGGGGACGGGGCGTATCCCTGAAACTGCAGCGAGAGATTTGGTGTGGTGAGGGCCCAGTCGTCGTTGCCCATCATGCCGTTCTGGGCGAGGGGCAGGGTGTCACCGCCAACGTCGGCCAAAGCGGCACGCAGAGTATTCGGCGTGGAGGCGTGACTCACCTGGTGAAGCAGCGGCCCTCCCATGAGAGTGTTGTGTAGACTGTTGTTGCTGCTGCTGTGATGATGATGATGATGATTATTATTATTATTGTTGTTATTATTGTTATTGTTATTGTTATTATTGTGGTGATTATTACCAAGCCCAACAGCTATCCCAATACCAGTGGTGGGAGGAACAGACACAGTTGCAGCGGCAGTCGTGTTGAGAGAAGGAGTGCTTGAAGGCGTGGCAGGAGTGGAAGAGATGGCAGCAGCAGCAGCAGCAGCAGTAGTAGCAGCACCACCAACACCAGTGCCTGCAGCAGTTGTAGTCGTCGTGGTAGTAGTTGTTGTCGTGGTAGTATTCGTATTGTTGTTATTATTATTATTATTGTTGTTGTTGTTGGTGTTGTTACTGTTATTTGTGTGGCTGTTAATGCTCGCAGCAGCAGAAGCAACTCCATTAACAGCATCATTACAACCAGCACCACTAACACTACTACCACCACCGCCACCACCACCACCACCGTTGCTGCCCTGGTTTCCCTCTGTGGGGTGACTACACCTTGGAAAAGGCATACTGCTTGATGATGTTTAAAAAAAAAAAAAAAAAATTTTTTTTTTTTTCAGCTGTTGAGTTCTCTTTTTTTATTTGGTTTTCCCTTTATTTACCAAAATAATAATAATAATAATAATAATAATAATAATAATAATAATAATAAAGAAAGAAAAAAAAAAAAAAAACAAGGAAATAGAAGCGAAGAAAAATGGCAATATAACACAGTCAAAATGTACACACAAGCATGATGAAACGGTATTTTTATATACAAGCCCTTCTTTTTTTTTTTTTTGTTTTCTTCTCTCCTTCTCACCTTTTCCTCTCCTCATCCACAGAGTGTGTCCATTCTTCCTCTTCTTCAGAGTATAAGTATAAAACAACAAAGACTCACAAATACACAGACACACACAGACATATACAGAGACACAAGCAAACACAATAGAAACCATAACGATCACCACAAGCAAAAAAACAACAACAACAACAACAACAACAACAACAAGAACAAGAATAACAAACAAAAGAAAAGGCACACCAACAGTACTGAATCCTTCCGAAAGATGATACTATTTACGGTCTTTCAAGACCATAAATATATATATATGTTTCCTTTTTGGAGCAACCAATCTTCTTTTATTTTATTTTTTTTTTCCTTTCTTTCTTTCCTTTGCGAGAAAAGGAGACACATGTATACGAAAAGACATGTTACATTTATTTGAAAACATGATACTCGTCAACACGGCCCTGTGGGACTACTACTGTTTGCAACGGGATAAAAGGTCTACCTGCGAGAAAGATACCTTCTGCCTCTGCTTGATTAAGCCGGCGAGAGCCCGTTGGCATTATTTCAAAAAGTGGCACACCGGTTGTAAACTTAAATGCAAAGTGATGAATATTCGATTTACCAGCTCCCATACGACTCTCTGGACTCTTCTTTACAACTGGAAACTCTTCATAGTCGGTGTGCATAGTGAGTGTGAAACCTCCACGTGGAAGACGTCGAAGGATCGCCAAACGTGCATTTTCAAGTTGTGATTGTGTAACCATACCAAAGTCTGCGGTGATGAGTCCCCACTGACCTTTAATGAGTGCCGCCTCATTGTTTATAAATCGTGGATCTCCATAAAGACGATATTGTCGAATGGGTCTACCACTCTTTGGGTGTACATAGTGGTAGGCGCGGAGTACTGTGCTACGATGAAAGAGAGACGACATGGGCTTTAGTTTTCTTTTCTTTTTTTCTTTTTTACCGCTAACACAATCACCACGAGAACTACTACTAACTACCACCACGACCACTAGTAGGACGACAGAAAAAAGAAATAAAACTCCCTTTTCTCTCTCTCTCTCTTTTTTTTTTTTTTACTTCACCCCGGAGATTTAAAGGTAAATAAGACACAGTAGTATGAGTGCATTGTGTACAAGAAAGAAATAAAGGGGGAGAGAAGAAAGTTTAGCCACAGAAACATATCAGTAACGAAATAGAAGAATGACACCTTCAAAAAGTGTTAAATAGAATAAATAATAATAGTAATAATAATAATAATAATAATAATAATAATAATAATAATAATAATAATAATAGTAGTAATAATGATAATAATAAACAATAATATTAGAAAAATCAATAAATTGTCTACTCCCCCAAAAGATGTCTGCAACTCAGCAGAAAAAAAAACAATCACATCAACAATTGTTTTGTACACTAATGTAAAGAATGTGAATCAGAACGGGAGTTAGATAATCCCCCATCACCGAATACATTTAAAGGGTAAAAATCGTTTTACGCCACCATAAAGCCGTACCATCGACACTTTCATTGTCACTGGCATTGACATTCTCTTTTTCATTATCATCATAGCGGTCACAGGAGATGCATTTCGACGCGTCCCTCGCATTAGCCCTACTGCAGGTTCTCCACTAGATGAAAGTGTTGAAACAGGAGCAGTACTACTATTATTATTAGAAGTAGTTTTTCCTGTTGTAACCGTATCACCTGCAATCGTTGTTAAGCGACTGTACCCACGCAAGTGTTGACTTACCCATGGTGTAGACCACGCCACCCACTCCGGTGTAAGTGTCATGAATCCACGACTAACATCGCGTAGAATACCTTCAGTTAGGTTACGACCATGTGTTGCAACCCTCTTATTATTATTATTATTATTATTACTATTGTTATTATTGTTAGTAGCAGTATTAGTAGTATTAGTATTGCCGTTAGAATCGTGTAGAGAGTCATCAGCGTCGCGGCGGACGAGGCAACGAACACCAATCTCTCGTCTAGGCAGTATATAACCACGGTGAATCTTATACCCCAATCGATGTATGAGTTGGTGCCAGTTCCACACTTTCCGTGTAAGCTGGTACTCTGTGGGTGCCTTTTCAAGAAATAAGCTCTCCAACTTCTTCTCAGAAACACCAATGAGTCCTGTTGATAAAGAGATGGGAGAGGAAGGTGAATAGCTAGAAGTAAACGTTGATGATCCTTCTTGTAATGAAGAACTTGGTGAATCTATACCATTACTACTACCACTACTACTACTACCACCACCACCAGCAACAACAGTAGTAACACCAGCTTTCTCACCAACCATTGTATTACCACTATCCGTTTTTTCTGAGAGTTGTTTGGACTCGGCAATAGCCTGTGTCGTCAAGGCCATAAGTTTAAATAAAGCACGTGCTGGAAGTGCTGAGGGAGAAGTACCTGCAACATCAGCAGACTCCGCCAAGTCAGTTGATGCAAAAACACACGACTCCTTCTCACCATCCTTAAGAAGAGAAAGCATTCCACGGTAAAGTTCAGTGCGTACACGTAGCGATTTTGTAATACCTATATGTCGACCCAAATTTAAATTTTCCTCATAGGGATCTTCAATACAAAGCTCGTATCGAGTGGGGTGACGTTTTGTATTACTACCATTGCCAACACTATTTCCACTATTCATACTACCACTACCACCACCACCACCACCATTGTTAGCACCACCACCACCACCACCACCACCGCCACTTCCTCCTCCTCCTCCACCTAATGTAGATATCATTGGAGGTACCACATCTTCTACATGCCACCCCAACATCTTTTTGGTAGTGATACCAGGTCGATTTAGTGAAATAACGTGATGTTCCCAATCAAACTCAAAAGAGTAAAAATAAAAGAATCCCACCAACATATCTCCTGCATCTCTGTAAAGTGCGTCAAGCTCCTCTGGACTAAGGGAAGGATCCACCATTGGGATATACTTTGGGCCAAAATCTGTATAATTTACTAATGATGCTGGAATATCTAATGGATCAACATATGGTACGTATTCTTTTTGTATAAGATAGTAAATCCACATAATGTTAATGGCATAACTTGTAAAATATCCATTCACAGAATTATTTACCCCACTCGTCTTACTCCAATCTTTTAATACAATTGCCCCAGGACGTGCACATGGGTGACTCATCAAATATTGCCGTAATAAATTTGAATTACGTATACCAAAGGCACGAAAACTGAGATCAAAATCCACATTATACAACTCTGGTCTACACTCATCATGTACAGGTTGTACTTTAGCTCGTAGTGCTGGTGTCACTAAAGCGGGTGTACACATAGCCGCTCGAATGGCAGAAGTAGTACTATTGAGAGTCATGGACATAACGTCTCCTGTACGATTCCACCATACTTGCTGCACTCCCGACGGCCCAACAGCATCCCGTACACTTCCCTCTAACATCACCCGATCTTCTTTCCCTGCTGGGGCATTTAGGACGAAACGTACACTTCGCGCAACAACGTCCTCCGCGTCTCTTCTTGCTGTAGTAAGGATAGGTGAAGATGCATGATGCTTGATAATAGGTACCCGCGCATGACTAATGGGTTCAAGGTTCACAAAGGAAAACCCCGCACGGCGCAGGAGTTCTGTGATGGAACGGACCGCATTGCGCTCGAGTGGTGGCCAACCCCCGGCATCCAAAGCGTCCACATCCACAACGGCAAAGTCAATATCCGCCATACCATCCCACACACCCATAGCGACGGAACTGCCAAAAATAAACACCCTCGCCCTTTCATGCCAGCGACGGACAACAATTTCAAGTTGTTCACGGGCTCGATGGGCTTCGTGCATTTTTTCCGGCCCCGCATCGCGCCGCACGGCGATGTCGAGAACTTTTTTCCCCCACATGGCGATGGCCGCGCGGCGGGCGTGGCGGGCGCGACTCCAGACGGGGCAGAGACGGGCGGCGAGGCGGTGAAGGCGGGCGTGGTCCGGGGCGAGTTCCGCGTGGCGCTCCTCCGCGTGGGCGAGAAGAGCCGCGTGGGTTGTGAAGATTCCGTGCGGACAGGCATCGCAGGAGTACAGCCGCGGGGCATGCGGCAATACATCATCCTCACCTTCATCCTCATCATCTTCATCCTCATCTTCGTTATTAGTATTATTTTTATTATCATTATTATCATTATTATCATTATCATCATCATCCTCATCATCGGTGTCATTTTCATCAACAGATATTTTGCTGTGGTGTTGGTGGTGGTCTTCATCATTTGCAGTAGAGCCCCCCTTACGGCTCTCGCTGAGAGTTCTCTCTGAAAGTTTTTGATTGACTTCATTGCTACGCCCCTTTGATAATGTAGAGGAATCATCACTGGTGACACCTAACGTCTCATGTTCACTGGTGGTCTTTCGACTCTTACCGAACCGACTCGATAAACCTGCAGTAGACGAAATATCATTATCATGATCATAATCATCATCAGAAGCAGAAGCAGAAGCGTTACGTTCAACCTGCCCCTTTATTAACTTCTTCTTTCCCTTTTTAGATTCTGTTATACGTGACTCTCTCACTTTTGTTGCTTCTTTTTCTTCTTCCTCAACCCTTACTACCTCACTCTGTAGGTCATCTAATGTAATGTCATCCTCATCCTCAGCAGGTACTGTAGATTCCTGTCGTCGCCTGCGCAGCTGCCGCTGTGGCGGCTCTTCCTCATTTTCCTGCTCCGTTTGCTGAAGCAGACGGCGATATTTACTAGGCATTTTTCTATCTTCTTCTGCCCTCCACCCTACAGGTGCGAGCTCTCTTCCACTGTTTACTGATGATACACAGAAAGAGAATCATATCCAATAATGTACATCAATATACATATCAAAGAAGGGAATCCAAAAAAGAAAAAAAAAAAAACAGAAAAAAAAAACAGAGGTATAGGGGCAGTAGGAAGAGTAAAACTCTGGATAGATAAAAAGTACTAACATCACAAAGGGCACTAGTCTCAGAAAAAAAAAAAAAAAAAAAAAAAAAAAAAAAAAAAAAAAAAAAAAAAAACACAAACCTTATTCAAAAAAAAAAAAAAAGAAAAAAACCATGAAAATCCCTTTCTTATCATGTTTCGACTTGTTTCCACGTTTCCGATATCCTTCCCTTCTTATTCTCATCCTTCACAATTACATAGGTTTTTTTTTTTTTTATTCCTTTCATTCAACGTAGCATACAAATGGGCATAACGAAAATAGAAAAGAAAGAAAAAAAAAAAAAGAAAAACTATAGAAGGCTAACAATGGTTTAAAAAAGACGGCGCAATTCAACGACAGCCATTCCCACACATGTCACCAGCAACCGTGCACGCAGACCTGACCACAATGCGGTGTAACCCTCCTCTGTTACAATAGTGCGAGCGCAGTCTACCATATTTTTATATCCATGTGTTTTCGATGATGCGGTGAGTTGCATGCGACGACTGACGACTTCAAAAGGTTGTGTGACGAAACCAGCAACAATAGCCAGGCTTCGAGCTACAGCAAAAGGATACCGCTCATGTACTGCTGTGGGCAATACATGCAGTGCATAGTAATATGTACCCCGGTAGAGAAATACTGCCATAGAATCCAGACCAAAGGCACGGTAAAAACCACCAAATCCACATCGTTTACGAATATCTTTTGCTGTTTCTGTTGGGGATGTATACTTATAGGACTCTTTCTTTTCCTCATCCTCTTCCTTATCTTCACCATTAACCTTTTCATTTTTCTCATCCTTCTCTACTCCATCCGGTGCAATAATATCACCAATGTAGTTTGTTACAATAGTATTATGTAATCCCGTTACGGGTGAGGCGAGGAGAACGGCAGTAGATGTAGAAAGTAGAGAAATCGTCACATACATCATTGGTGGCATCGTCTGTAGAAACTCATTTGGAAGTAAAGCCAATATCTCTGTTACCAAAGATGATGTAATTTGCTCCGCCACTGCAGAGGGTGCGGCGAGAAAAACATCCGCCAAAAACCCGCGGAAAAATGAGCGAATGCCTTCTTTTTTGTAAATACGTTTAACACAATTGTAGACGCCGCCAAATCCCGTCGGTGGTAATCGTCCTTCCCGCACCAATTCACCCTCAACAGCTGTTAGCACGGTTACACGGTAGGCTGGAGCCATCATTGCCCATTGTATGAAAGAGCCAAGAAAAGAGGCTAATCCGTCAACAATAACTTCTCCCGTTGAGGGGGCATGACCGTAGAACTGAGTGTCTTCCATTGGGGGGAGATTAGATTAACAATATATTAATTAAATATATAGATATATGTATACTCCCTTTTTTTTTTTCTTTATTTCGTTTATCCCGCGTAAACAAGTGGTTGCCACGTTGAAGGTATTTTAAGTTCTCTTTCTTTCTTGTTTGTTGTTATTGGGTTTGCTCTTCACTTTCTTTTTCCCTTGGCACAATACCTTCTCACACGATGGATTCGTTTATTCTCCTCGTGCTAATTGTTTTCTTTTTTCTTTCTTTTTTTCTTGTAATTTCACGGAGAGAAGGCCTTTCAAAACGAATATCTCATAAAGGACATAAAGAAGATTTAGATGAAAACGAAAAAAAAAAAAAAAAAAAAAACGACAGGGTAGAAAACCAAACAAATAAAAAAAAATAATACTACTAATAATTATTATTATTTATTTATTTCTTCTCTCTTTTATCTCTATTTAAAATAGATCATATGTCCTTCTTTACTCTTTACCATCGCTAACAATATATAATATTTTTCGTATGCTCTTCTTTTTTTTTTTTCATCGATATTCCAATGTTTTCTATTCTTTTTAGATAACAGGAGAGATGCATATCAGAAGATATCCCTGTTCAAATACACACACAGACACAAATAAAAAAGAGAGAGAAACAAATAAAGAGTACAGGAAGTGATAGGTTTACCCTGTATCAAAAAATGAAACGCTTAATAAACACCGAACAACAACATAAAAAAACAACAACAACAGATATAAATATATATATATATATATATATAGTAAACAAAATAACTACAGTTCACTGTGAGTAAACCGCTTTTCTCATCACAGAAAAACGGCATCAAAAAGAACGCCACCCATATCCCTCAAGAAACGTAAACGTAATCCCGACCATAATGCAGTGACACCATCTTGCCGTACAATCTCTTTGGCGTGATGCCAAAACCAGGGATTTTTCTTGCGTTTCTGTACTTCTTTTGTAGAGAGAAGTCCCATCCGTGCACGTATAACTTGAAAGGGTTGGAAGATAACACCACAAAGAAGTCTCACGCCAAGTCCCATAGTGATAACAGCAGCAACTTGTTTTCCAGGTTGTGTAATGTGTTGTTGAAAAATACGTATTACACTTGGAACTACAAATATACCCAACAATTGTGTGGTAAGACTCTGTACATATACAGAAGCGATATCAACATCTACACCGTTAAAGTGAAGTCCTTTCCATCCAAAACGACTCTTTACTGCTGTTGCGGCTTCCCGTGCAGAACTGTAGAGGTATGCCTCTTCCACCTCTCCCTCTGATATGGTTTCAGATTCATTAGGTGCTACAATATCCGCAACGTAGTTACACATAACGGTGTTTTTATACTCCACAATGGGTGCGGTAATTAAAAGTCGTAATCCAGGTGCGGCAAATCCCCACATTAATGCGGCAGGCCAAGAGATAAGTACCAATCGTCGTTGTATTTGTGAAATTCCAGTGGCGACCAACACCTGAGCAACATACGAGATGGAGGAATAAATCATATCTGTAAGACAACCACGAAACAGACCCAAGAATCCTTCTTTTCTAACAATATAATAAACACATCCACGAATACCACCGAAACCCTCACGTGGGAGTCGTCCATTCTGAATAAGTTTTCCCTCCACACACTGCAGTAGAAACACGCGATTAACTGGGGCTTGTAAAGTATTCATGGTAATAAGAAAAGCCATATTGATACCGAGACTTACCGGAATACTGAGGGAATCAGAACCGGCATTCTGTTGGGCAACCTCTTCCAAATAGTAATCCGGATCATCCGGCTGATGAGGTGGAAGGTCCACCGCCACAGTTTGCTTCTCTGACATTATATTATATATATAGTTTTTATTTTTTCGTTACTTTCTACGTGGCTCCCCGAAATAAATTCTCTGAGGAAAAAAAAAAATGTAAAAAAGAAAAAGAGAAAAAAAAAAAAACTGATAAACCAAAAAGACTATTCGGTAAATATAATCAGAGAGAGAGAGAGAGTAGGAAAAGTAAAAGCCAAGAAAAAAAAAAAAAAAAAAA